GATAACATAGTTCTCCTAAATTTTTTTTTTTTTTTTTTTTTTGGTCTTTTTGAGACAGGGTCTCACTGTGCAGTTCAGGCTGGCTTTGAGTTTACTTTGTAGCCCAAGCTGGCCTCAAACTCACAATGATCCTCCTGCTTCAGCCTCCTGAATGCTGGGATTACAGGCCTGAGCTACCATGCTGAGCATGGGTCTTCTAAATTAACATAATGTATTTCTTGGAGAAGTCCTTAGAGGGATTTCCAAGTCCCGCCCAGATTCCTGCATTTTTTTTCAATAACCCCCCAAAATCACAGGCTAATACAGGCCTCCGGGGGATCATAGAGGTTCACTTCCTGTGAGCCCATTGCCCATCTCCAGCCAAGAGCCTAGGCCTTGGGCAAACACACACAATAAATAAATAAATACAGGCTGCCCAGGGAAGTTCTTTGTCTTAACCCAGAGAATTTCGAATTCTGTGAGAGGGCTGTATCCTGGAACCCTGAAATCCTTTCATTTGTCTCATTTATTTAAACCTTCCCCACCATCCACTTCTTTGGGAGATTACAGGCCTGGTCAGCCCAAAATAGCTAAGGGTTATTAACCCAATATATAAATATGCCTTCCTTCCCCAAATTTTCATTGTAAAACCTCTAGTGTTTTAGATCCAGTAGACATTTTTCAATTGCTAGTTCACTTTGCTGCTGGTGGCTGAGGGAACTTGTCCCAGGACTAGTGTTTTCTGGCTAGCATCCATAGTGCCTCAATAAACCCTTTTGTTTCAGAGAAATACCAGTCTGCATTTTGATTTAACAATGGAAAGTTCCAAAGCCCAATTGCAAAATAGCTAATCAATTCATGGCCCAGCACACAAGCAATGTCTTACAGAAATGCTAATTTTAAGGACTAGAAATTTTTAAAATAAATTGAAAAAAATAAAGAGAAGAAATATAACAGTGGCTCCTGTGAGTTTGGATGTTGTTCTTTTGAGGCAGGAGTTTAGGGTGTGGCAACCTGGCAGGCTGGATGGGCATGACCTGTCAATAACAGAGATCCAGGAAATGCAGAGAAAACCAGTTCCCAGAACCCTGCACCTGGAACCAATCAGAGAATGCTATCTTTAGTTCTCACAATAACTCAAGTAGGATTTTGATAGGACAGGCTTGATCTGACATCAGCCTAAGGCATGGGAGATACCAAAGATGGCTGCCCTAAGCCCTTGACTACTATGTTCTCACTTTTACAGTGCTCACCCTGCATATTGTACTTTTCCTACTTTTACATGGCCCACACTCGTTCTGCAGAGTTGTTTCTTTTCCTACCTTTAATAAATGTAAAACCTTACTCCATTTTCCACTTATTTTGTCCAAGTTTTTGTTCAGGATAAGAAGAACCTAGGAAGAATCTCTAGAAGGAGTTCCCAAAACTCAGTAATATTTTCACCTCCTGTGCCCAGCATTCTAAAGTCTAAAGAAAAAGTCACATGTAAATGCTTCAGAGGTTAATTGCTAAATAACTTTTCCTTAAATTTATAGAACCCAGATAATATCAGAGTGTGTAGTGCCCCAACTTATTCTTGAATTCTGTGCATCAGGTAACACAAAGCATGTAAACTATACCATGTTTGGCTTGCAGAAAAGTATTGTGTTTGTCTAAAGAATTACAGTAACTATTCCAGGAGGTCAAGACTGAATTCAGTGTTCCAGACTCAAAACAATAAGTAAATAAAATAGGAGACATATACCCTGGATGATGAACAGGTGGTCAGCATGTAGTCTTCTCTTTGCCTCCCAAACCTGCTTGCCCTCCCTATAAATGCCCACTCCAGCAGCCAAGAATATAGCTCAGAGACACAAGCACCTGCCTGGCAAACACAAGGTCCTGAGTTCAATTGCCAGAACACACACACACACACACACACACACACACACA